CTAATGAAACAGCATAATGAAATAAGAGAGAGTGTGGCAGGCCAAAGATCCTAAAAAGGATATAATTGCAGGCCTGACACTAAGATTGAACCGTACACTAGCATTGATGATGTTACCTAGTTGGGTAATGAAACGTCTGCAAGAAAATATCCAATCTTACATATCAAAATATTGAAACTTGATAGCATAGATAGATTTCTCTGCTATGCTAGCATGTCTCTCATCATATCTGTTACAAAACACATTTAAGCACGATCTTCTAGACGCAGGTAGTCCTCGACTTACAACAGTTCATTCAGTAACCGTTCAAAGTTACAGTAGCACCGAAAAACGTGACTTGTGACTGTTTTTCACAATTACATCTATTGCAGCATCCCCATAGTCACATGGTCAAAATTCTGGTGTTTGGCAACTGACTCGTGACAGCTACAAATATCCAAGGGTCATGTAATCATCTTTTGAAACCTTCTGGCAAGCAAAGTCAATAGGGAAGTCAGTGATTCACTTAACAAATGTGACAAGAAAGGTCATAAAGTGGGGCAAAAGTCAGTCAACAAATTTCCCACGAAGCAACAGAAACTATAGGGCAGGGATGTCCAAACTTGGGAACTTTAAGTTCCCAAGTTTGAACACCCCTGCTATGGGGGTTCAGTTGTGGTTTTTAAATTCAGCCCTATGGATACAGAAGTTCAAGAAGGGAAAGTAGAGGCCACAAGCAAAGAACTCCAGAGAATTATTGAATGGGAAAAAGCACTGAGACAAACAAAGACAGTACGTTTGGCCTTTGGAACTTCCTGCCACAGGATATTGCATCAACGCGTATGATAACTGCCTTATTGATGTTTTAGCAAATGTTAGTTTTCAATGTTTGTCTCTGGCTCAGACCTGATGCTAAGAACCGATCTTAAGAAATAAAGTAAGATACCTTTGTCAAATCAGTCTGGGCCATGTGATTAGCCAGATTAAAACAAGCTAAAAGCATTGTTCCAGTAGCAAAACCCACCATATATTTAACACTCTTAAATATTTTGCATCTGCTCCAGGTAAAATTCTGTGCAAACACATAAAATAAGAACGTGAATATTACGCAGGAAATGTTTTATCTTACTATTGTTGAGAAGACCGCACAGGTTTGCTTATGGCCCCGCTTTGCCAAAGACCACCATTTTTTTTTATCCAGAATTAACAACTTCTTTTGTTTCTTTTTCTCTAATGTATGAATTGAAATGTACAACCTGTGAAAAGCAGCATCTGTTCTGATCCCTGTTCTTATTGTGGGTGATTCTCCCATATGAAATAGAAAAAGCTCTTTTTAAAAAAAAAATCCTGCAATATACCATAGGCTTAAGACACTCCTTTGTTTTCTGTCCATAGACCTACAGCAGCTGAACTTCTAAGGCACAAATTTTTCCAGAAAGCAAAGGTAGGATCAAGTGTTTTTTTTATTAGGGCAACCTGGTCTACCCAATTATGGGATGGAGCATCCTGCTCCACCTTTTGAATCCCAGAAGGGTATGGCTAGCCAATGACAGCTAAATAGCTTGAAATAGCTTTGAAATAGCTTGAAATAGATTTATACTAGTCTTCCTTTGATTTCTTTGACAATAAAACATAAATTCAACCCAAAGGTAGGATCCTTGATTGATGCAGTCATCTATCAACTTGGATGTCGGAGATATATATTTATAGACAAGGAATAATTATAGGGTTTGTTTTTTTTACATTGTTGTAAACTGCCTATAGTCACTTGATAGTGAGATGGGCGACATAAATTTAACGATTTATCAGAGATTTCCCCCAACTTCCATCCACCCTATGACAAGTTTGCTTCTCATTTAAGATCTATCCTGATTTTGCCACCCACAATACTGGTAATCTTTTAAGTGTGAAAATGTTCGTGTGGCTTAATATCCTTGAGTTCACCCTGATTTATTTATTTTTTGAGCCAGATTGACTGTTTAATCACTCCGAATACAACTGCTTTATGGTTCAGTTTTGTGTAACTTTAGTTTTTATTAAGGTACCTGGTGGAAAAAGAGAATAGTTGCATATCTTTGCATCTGTCCAGTGGCAGAGAATGTTGCTACTCATCTGGAGATTGTTACTCTTTTAATACATTGCTTTCTTAGCTCTTGTGTCAAAGGAAATTTTATTCAGTGTTGTTTAACTAAAACTTTTTTCTCTCTCTCTCTCTCTTTCCCTCCTTCGCAAAAGGCTCTAGGGGAATATGCAGTTTGAGTGCCGTGGAGTTGGGTGGCTGATTAATTCACTAAATAACGATAAAACTGTAGCTTTTGAAGAGCAGATTGCAAGAACTGATGGTTTTTTATTCCTTTTGCAGAATAAAGAATTTCTACAAGAAAAAATGTTGCAGAGAGCCCCAACTATCACTGAAAGAGCCAGGAAGGTACAAATTAAAGTGGAAATCTGCATTGAAATGATTCTGTAAAATTTCTTGCACCTTAATGTGTAGCTTGCTTGCAGCCTGAGAAACAGGGAAAATAATTCTGGCTGAGTTCACACATCTTAAAGAAACTTGGTTCCTCCTGCTTTTAAAAGTAGCTAGCCAGCATCCTTGGTAGGTATAAGGTTTTAATCTAAGATGACATCGCAAGTTTCTGTTTCTGGTAACAAATCGTACAGTTGAGCTAAAAAAAGCCAAATCATTAGTGGGTCACGGCCTGGGGATTGGGGACCCCTGCTGTATGGCAAATAATGAAACAGTTTCATAAATAAATCAGAGTTCCTTTGCTTGTTTTGTTGCATGGCTTAATTTGCTGGCAGATGGGATGATAGTCTGCCTGTCTATGGATACATAAGTACACCTTTTATTGCAAAGACTAAAATATTCAAGCCGAATATATAAATTGGTTTTAAACATAGGCTGTGACTGTATTGATGGATTTTTCAATGTCATTCTGTTTCTTCCTTCCTCTTCTTGCTTGGTTGGATGGAAAGCATACATACGTACACACACGCGCGCGTGCACAGACACACACACATATGTATGTATTTAGTGTCACAACCCCTGGTATGCCCTAATATGGGAGGAAGCCTACTGCTTCCTTTCTCTGTCTATCGGCTCGTCACAAGAGACCATCCAGACAGAAACCCAATATTTTTACTGTTGCCTTTGTTACATTTGTGTTGTATTTGTGCTGATAAATAAATAAAGGGAGACTAGTATAGATCTATTTCAAGCAATTTAGCTCTCATCAGCTAGCCATAGCCTTACTGGGATTCGAACCTGGGCTGTATTACATATTAGGCAGATGTGTTAACCACTAAGCCACAAGGTTCTCCTCCTTTATCAGCTGAGCCAGGGAAATAGGTATTTAGTGCTTGAAATAGATCTATACTACTCTCCCTTTATTTATTTATCAGCACAAATACAACGTATGTATGTATGTATGTATGTATGTATGTATGTATGTATGTATGTATGTATGTATATTTTATAGCCACATTGATTTCTGGATGGATAGTTGTGTCAGGAGCATCCTTTCTATTTTTGTTTCTGCACAAGATAGCAAAAATTGTGACAAGTACATCTTTTAGGTTTATCAAAGCCTTACAGGAGACTCAGTGAGGCTGTACAGGTAGTCCTTGACTTATGACCACTAGAAGTTACAATGATGCTGAGGTCCTCGTCCTTGCAATTGTTATAATGTCTCCACAGTCACGTGATCAAAATTTGGGCATTTGGCAACCAGCAAGAATAGGTAGTCCTCAATTTACTAACACAATTGAGCCCAAAATTTATGTTCTTAAGTGAGACATTTATTAAGTGAGATATGTCACACTTTACGACGTTCCTTGCAACAGTTTGTTAAGTGAATCATTGCAGTTGTGATGTTAGTAACCCGAATGTTTAAATGAATCTGGCTTCCCCGTTGACTTTGCTTTTCAGAAGGTCGCAAAAGCTGATCACGCAACCTTGGGGCACAGACGTGGTCGTAAATATGAATCAGTTGCCAAGCATCTGAATTTTGACTACATGATGGGGATCAGTGGTGCTATGTGTGAAAAACGCCCATAAGTCATTGCGGTAACTTTTCAGAGCCGTTGTAACTTTGAACGGTCCCTAAACAAACTGTTGTAAGTTGAGGGCTACCTGTATTTACAATTATTACAGCATCTCAGGGTTGGTGGGATCCTCATTTATGATCTTTCCATGGAGCTTCCAACAAGCAAAAGTCAATGCAGGAAGCTGGAATCACTTAACGACCATGCGATTTGCTTAACAATCGCCCATTTGCTTAAAGCAGCAATAAAATCAGGTGTGGCTCAGTTAACAACCGCAGCCGCTTGGCAAACAATTGTTCCTAATTGTGGTTGTAGCCTCAAGGGCTACCTGTACAACCCCGAGCAGAACTGCGTTGTTACACATCTCGTCTTGCTCTTGTTGATGGGCAGGTCAGGAGAGTCCCTGGTTCCAGCGGACGGCTTCACAAGACCGAAGACGGCGGCTGGGAATGGAGCGACGATGAACTAGACGAAGAAAGCGAAGAGGGCAAAGCGGCAATTTCACAGCACAGGGTGAGGGTCGATTTTACTTTTTTAAATACTCAAAAGTACAGTTCCTCCCTGAATTTATGCCTTGTAGGAGGGAGGGGGGGTCCTTGGTGCTCTCTGAGCTTGGCTGTTTTCTTTCAGACATTTTGTTGCCCAGCTAGGTAACTTCGGGTACTTGAGAGACCGCCTACTGCCAATTACCTCCACTNTTCCCAGCATGAGGCTCTTCTCCAGGGAGTCCTTCCTTCTTGTTAGGTGGGCAAAGTACTTGAGTTTCCTCTACAGGATCTGGTCTTCTAAAGAGCAGTCAGGGTTGATCTCCTCCAGGTTGGATCACCTTGAAGTCCAAGGGACTCAATGCAGGAGTCTTCTCCAGCACCAGACTTCAAAGGCCTCCATTCCTTGGCCCTCAGCCTTCCTTATTGTCCAACTTTCACAGCCATCCATTGCAACTGGGAAAACCGCAGCCTTGACTAGACACACTTTTGTTGGCAGGGTGATGTCTCTGCTTTTTAGTATGCTGTCTAGATTTGCCATCGCTTTCCTCCCCAGGAACAAGCGTGTTTTCATTTCTTGGCTTCACTCCCCATCTGTGGAGATCTTGGAGCCCAGTATAAAATAAAATCTGTCACTTCAGGTAGTCCTTCACTTACAACCATTCATTTACTGGCCATTTGAAGTTACAGCAGCACTGAAAAATGACTTAACAACCAGTCCTCAGACTTATGACCATTTCTAGGATCATGTGACTCTAATTTGGGCACTTGGTAACCGGCATGTAACCAGCACGGGTTTCCTGGGTTCATGTGATCACAATTTGAAACTTCCCCGGCTGGTATCCAGCAAGAAAAATCATGACGGGAAGTCAGATTCTCATTTAACAGCTATGATTTGTTTTAAGAGCTATGGTGTAAAAGGTCATAAAATCGGGTGTGATTCACTTAACAACCACATGATTCATTTAACAGCTATGATGTGTTTTAAGAGCTATGGCGTAAAAGGTCATAAAATCGGGTGTAATTCACTTAACAACCTTCTTGCTTAGCAATGGAAATTCGTAGGTTACTTTTTTCAGTGACGTAACCTTGAATGGTCTCGAAAAGAACGGTGGTAATTCAAGGATTGCCTGTACAGGCAGTCCTTGATTTACGACCACAGTTGAGCCGAACATTTCTGCTGTTAAAGGATGAGGCACTGGGGGCAACAGGTACAGGTAATCCTTGATTTTTATGACCACAATTGAGGTCAAAATTTACGTTAGAGTGAGATCTTGGCTAAGTGAGTTTTGCCCTGTTTTACGACTCCTCTGGCCACAGCTGTTAAATGAATCGCTGCACTTCATAAGTTAGTAACCTGGCTTGTTAAGTGAATCTGGCTTCCCCAGTGACTTTGCATTGCAACACAGCTACAAAATCTACCTCCACAGTCTTGCAGTCGATCGGAGGGAAAGCTGGAATTTTGCCCTTTTCCTCCCTTGGGTGTCCTTTGGTGTTGAGTGCACTGATGATTACGCAGTTATGAGATACCTGCAACTGAAGAGACATCTGATCCCATTAAAGGTCGCAGAGCCTGGTGGGGAAGATGCTGGGTTAGGAACGGGGAGATCTGTGTTCAAATCCCCATACCCCCCTCAGCCTGAGGGTTCCACCACAAAACCGCGTTCGACTAAACCGCGCTCGACGAAACCGCGTAGCTGACGT